AACGTCAGGAAAATAAAGCCCTTGTTCCAGTGATCGCACCTTCTTCTTCTGAGCTGGTCACCTGTTCGAGCCCCGGATGGAGCAACACGTGGGGTTGGGTATGGTTGACTACCAGTCGCTTTAGTCTTTCCCTGTAATAACCTTTTCGCAGACGATTACTGAAATGTGCATCGAATTTAATTAATACGCCGCAGCATTATGGCATGCGATAGACATGTCTTCCGGGCATCACACAATATAACAGATCATAAAATTGGTAGGTTTCATAACTTCTATACTTTCTTGAGTTTCGTGCCTTCTAAAGTGGATTCAGCAAGCGTTTGGTTTTTAATGGTTTGTGAAAAAGTATATTTTCGAAGATCTTGCTTAAAAATGAAATTTAGGATTTGCAAGTTTATAAGTAAGAATACTTAAGTAGTTATTTGATGTAACTAACTGACTAATCAGGATGGTACATCCAAATTACACAGTTAAGCTACCATTATTCCTCTCATAGTTTAACTCTTGAGTTTTTCTTGTTTTGGAAAATTCGTTAGTCTGGGTATATGACCATCGCATCATTTTGCCAGGCCCTTTACATGAAATAAATGTTCACCTGCCCTTAACTTCCGTTGTCTATTCATTTTTAATCATTTCAGTAGATTCAGTAGACCGTAACAGAATTCTCGAGAAAACAGAGGGTATATCTTTTGTACAAACTGTACACATATTAATAGTTTCGGTAAAGTAAGAGAGACCGTTTCCGAAATACTTGAAATAATTCTCCCTCTCCGAAGGCCAACAATATATGAGCCAATGAAATGAAAGAGTAACTATTTCAATATTTCAAAGACATGTCGGTCTATTTTTACCAAATTTACTATTGTTGTTGCGACAGAAATAGAGGAATTTACAGCATAATTATGCTAGCCAATCCCCTTTTGCCCAAAAAATTAAAGCAAATTGCATTGTCATTGAGTCTCATGCAATTGACAACAGCCTCAACAAGCCAAAATAAAAATCTCTTAATGAGAGAAACACTCTTTTTGTGTTATGCCAAAAGTACCTCCTAAAAGGTTGAACTTTGCTTTGAGATCCATCCTTCAGCCGCGTTTCGACAATAGTTGGATTATCTCGATTTTAATTGTTTTTTTTTGTCATAGACTCAAAACTTCCAATATTTACAAAATTTATCAGTTACCAACACGTAAATTTAAACTGTATCCGAAAGGACTAGGCGAACTTATTTTCCAGATGCCTCACTAATAGTCAGCGTATTTACCTATGAATACAAGGCTGAAAGGTGGCGTAAGTTTAAGCGATATTTGAACTTCGGTAGTCTTTCCAAACGGCTTTTTTCTGAGAAAAATTTTTTTGATTTGTTAGAGAATGTTCTGCCGTCTCAAAGAACTTCCAGCCGTCTTTAATTGTAAACTGTTGGATGGTGAGAGTTAGACCATTTAGTCTAAACAGCGGTCCAGGAAAGAAATAAAAATATAACTTCAGCACAAAAATATGTGCGAGAGTGAAGAACACTAAATGAACTGCTAATGACCAGTCTACAGATACACCGAAAATGTTGCCGGTGGTAATGAACGTTTTCTAACGAATCATTTACACTTGCATTATACCCTCCCATCGATTTCGACCTTCTGGTTAGTTAAAGATAACCCTCTATGATGCTAAACATTTGTGAATCATTTTGATTATTTTAGGACACAAGTTTAACGTCCCGTTTTAAACTTTGACTCTAATTTAGAACCAGGTAAACAGTACTAGAGATAAGAAAGAACGATAATCTTCAGTTATTACTAATAAGAATAAAACAGCTTGGAATGACCAGCTTTAGAATATTCTAAACCGCC